GTATTTTATGTATAATATATTCACATATTTTTTAGTATTTATTTTTATATTGTTTTCTTATTTTGCTCTATATATTAAAATTATTTAAAATAAATAAATATCTTAAAGTATTCGCTTATCGGGCAAATATTTCATTTGTATATTCCTTAATCAAGTTTCTGATGTCCCTTTTTTCGGGCATTTCATCTCTTAAATCGCGTTTATACGGCGCTTTACTTTTGATTGCCAAAAAGCAAACACACACACGCATACACAAACACACGCACTCATACAGACACACGTACTTTACCACCCATATATATATATATATATGGCTTATATAGCACTCAATATTACTCATACGTTACTGTGCGCTGATGTTTACTTGTTTTTTTTTTTTTTGGCCGGTTTTCTCCCGCTGCCCCCATTGACCATCCGTAGGCTTACTGCGCCTGCAGCAAATCTATCAAGAACTGAAGCCCGGAAATGAAACATTTCGTGTGCAAATGGTCAAACGCATCGCCAACGTAACGATGGCCATTGAATTTTTGCACACGATGGAGGATTTGGGGCGCTTCAGCAAAAAGCGCATCGTGCTCGACTGCCCGGCGGAAATGGCCAAAGAGATCATCATACAGCATGTGCGGGACGTAAAGCTTGGCAGGCGCACCTATCATTACCTGCTCAGCGGCCTGGTGAGTGCAAAATGCCAGAAAACAAATTCCGTGGCAACTTACCAGCTTTGCCGAGTTGCCGTTACGTGGCCCCCGCTGGGCGCCTTTAATAAGCAATTATTACCAGCATCCGTTAGGCTTTGTTATCCTTTCTGACTCTACTGACTCACTCTCTCTGTCCCTCTCTCTCTCTCTTCCACTTTTTCTCTGGTTTACTTTTTGTTATATTCTCGTCGTGTGCGCAGGTCATGGATAACCACTGGCCCAGCGACGTTGTGGAGTTTGGAGCCATCAACATCACCGGCTTTCGCATTGTGGACACTAATCGGCGCGCCTTGCGTGATTTCCATGACAGCCGGAAGCGCTTAGAGCCGGCGAGTGGTGCTGGCACAGCAGGCGGCGCCAGTCAGCCAGCTATTTCGGTAAATTCTTACACAGACCCGAGCCGTACTTGCTTGTAGACTGAAGGCATTTCTCTTTGTTTACAACCCATTGGCGAACCCATTCCCTCCTACCCTCCCACACCCCACGCTGCACAGGCCCAGGCAGCACTCATGTACGATGCGGTCTTTGTGCTTGTCGAGGCCTTCAATCGCATTCTGCGCAAGAAGCCGGATCAGTTTCGTGCCAATCATCTGCAGCGGCGGAGTCATGCGGGCGGCGCAGGCGGCGCCAACTCGCTGAACGAATCGAGCGCCCTGTTGGACTGCAGCACATCCAAGGGCTGGGTCACGCCCTGGGAGCAGGGAGAGAAAATCTCACGGGTGCTGCGCAAGGTAAAAGTCAACATTTTGCATTTTACATCCATCGCCCTCGTGCGGGCGAAACAATTTTGATGAACATTTTTTCGAGAGAAGCGCTGGAAGTATTTCGCTGAAAGTTATTTAAAATCTTTAATATTAAGCCGAAATCGTTGGGCATGCGAGAGCAGTGCCTGACTGAGAGATACCCTGTGAAATGGTTAAGTTGAAGTAACTTGCGATTAATTAGGAGATTTACAAAGACAGCACAATTATTGAGGCGTATGATAAATAATTGAAGATCTAATAGAAAGCTTTATCAAATTTAATTTTATTAAAGACGTTGCTATTCCATAACTTTAATGTGCCCAACAGCGCTGATTATATTGCACATAAAAAGAAAAAGTAAAAGTAAAGATAAAGTCGATGAACTCTTATAATTGTTAAAGTATATTTATGAAACTTTTGCTCTGAGCGAGTGTTTCTGATAGATAGAAATTATAAGACTTTCTGATTGCAAATATTTGTCTGTAAAAATGAACAGCAACCAGAGCAGCAGCAGCAGCAGCAACAACAAGAACAACAACAAGCTTCAGGCACAATCAAACTGTTTTTGTTTTCTTTAAAGCGGCTCCCAATTCCCGCAGCTAATCTCATTGTTTATGCTTGTTGTGCAGGTGGAAATCGATGGATTGACTGGCGCTGTGCGCTTTGATGATGACGGGCGGCGAGTGAACTACACCTTGCAGGTGGTGGAGATGTCGGTGAACAGCACGCTGCAACAGGTGGCCGAGTGGCGGGACGATATCGGCTTCCTGCCGTTCCACGGCCATCGCAGCCATGGCAGCAGCTCGCGCAGCACAACGGCCGCCAGCAATGGGGATTATACACGCAATCACACGTACATCGTGACCAGTGTGCTGGAGGAGCCATATCTAATGCATAAGGCCAGCTACGGCCAGCAGCTGGTTGGCAACGAACGCTTTGAGGGATATTGCAAGGATATGGCCGAGCTGATTGCCAACAGGCTGGGCATTAAATGTGAGTTCCGATTTCCACTTGTGTGTGAATCTGTTCAACTGAAATGCTTTTCCTCACTCACTTTCTTCCGCATCGTCAGTTGAGCTGCGACTGGTGCAGGACGGCAACTACGGCTCCGAGAATCAGTTCGCACCCGGCGGCTGGGATGGCATGGTGGGTGAGCTGGTGCGCAAGGTGAGAAGCGAACTCAGACATTGGCTGACAATTGTTGTCGACACTTTGTAACTGCTTTATTGTCGTTGTCGTTGTTGTTGGGCTCACAGGAGGCGGACATGGCGATTGCAGCGATGACGATTACGGCGGAACGGGAGCGCGTCATAGACTTTACCAAGCCCTTCATGTCCCTGGGCATCTCCATAATGATTAAGAAGCCAGTGAAACAAACTCCAGGCGTCTTCAGTTTTCTGAATCCGCTCTCGCAGGAGATATGGGTAGGTCTAGCACTCTGTCAGAGCTTAAGGTTTCTCTACCACTTACCTGACTTTACTCAGCCACCTCTCTCGCGCTCACTCTATCACTCTCTTTCTCTTTCAGATAAGTGTCATCTTGAGTTACGTCGGCGTAAGCCTTGTGCTTTACTTTGTCACGCGGCTGCCGCCCCACGAGTGGCGCATCGTGCGTCGCTCGACCAGTGAAACGAATTCACAGCAACAGCCACCGGGCATCATTGGTGGTGTCCACTTGAGCGAACCACCGGAGCCACATCAGCCAGCAGCAGCACCACTCAACGAGTTTAGTCTGCTCAACTCGTTTTGGTACTCGCTGGCTGCCTTCATGCAGCAGGGCTGCGACCTGACACCGCCCTCGATAGCCGGACGCATTGCTGCCGCCGTTTGGTGGTTCTTCACCATCATTTTGATCTCGTCCTACACAGCCAATTTGGCTGCATTCCTCACAGTCGAGCGCATGGTGGCGCCCATCAAATCGCCCGAGGATCTGGCCATGCAAACCGACGTCCAGTACGGCACACTGCTGCACGGCTCCACTTGGGACTTCTTTCATGTGAGTTTTTGTGCGGGCCCAATGCAGTCTCGTTTTTCTAAAGGCGCCTTTTGTGCAGCGCTCGAAGATTGGATTGCATACCAAAATGTGGGAGTACATGAACGCCAATCCGCACCTGTCCGTGCGCACCTACGACGAGGGCATCCGACGTGTGCGCACCTCCAAGGGCAAGTACGCCCTGCTCGTGGAGTCGCCAAAGAATGAATATGTTAACGCGCGCGCTCCCTGCGACACCATGAAGGTGGGGCGCAACATAGACACCAAGGGCTTTGGCATAGCCACGCCCATTGGTTCGCCACTGCGGTAAGTGATTGATTAAACACTTTAGCTTGTGGGATTAGCTAAATTTTTCGCCTCCCCTCACCCCAACTCACCTGCGGCTTGGGCTGCCACTGCACTCCACTGCAGGAATCGTCTCAATCTGGCTGTGCTGTCGCTCAAGGAGAACGGCGAGCTGCTCAAGCTGCGCAACAAATGGTGGTTTGACAAAACCGAATGTAATCCCAATTTGGACAGCCAGGAGACGAGCACACCCAACGAGCTCTCGCTGAGCAATGTGGCCGGCATCTATTACATATTAATTGGCGGTCTGCTGCTCGCCGTCCTGGTGGCCATACTCGAGTTTATTTGCCGCAGCAAGACGTCGCGTCACAAGCTGCCAGCCAATGGCTCCACTGGCGGCGGCATGTTGGGCTCCTCTACATATCAGCGGGACTCTCTCTCGGATGCCATCATGCAGTCCCAGGCCAAGCTCGCCATGCAGGCRGGCAGCGACTACGACGAGCGTCTGGTGGGCGTTGAGGTGAGCCTTGAATTAATTTAGAGTGAATAGCCAAGAGATATATACTCACATTCATTCATTCATTGACTCGCTCTGCCCCTTCCAGCTGGCGTCCAATGTGCGCTATCAGTACAGCATGTAAATGCAGTTGGTCTCCAAGTAAACTTGTATATAGGATTTGAAACGCATTAACTAACTAAACGACGCTGGCAATCAATGGCAAATTTAGAGACGGATCAGTTGGGAGTTGGCATTCGGCAAGAGGCGGAAGCAGAGGCGGAGGCGGAGGCGACGGCGGCGGCGTTCTAAAACTGTACAGCATAATTATTTGTATTTTTGATAAATGTTTACATTGGGATTGCATAATAACTAAATGGAAGTAGCTGTAATTAGCGCTTAAGTCAAAAATTATTCAAAATAATAAAGCGTAACATTTAAGCAGAGTGAGAGCGTGTCGAGCATCATTTACATGTGGTCGGAAGGATTCACTTGGCTTTGGCTCATGCGGCGTATGAGTTATACAACCAGAGCACCTGTGTGTGCGGGCATGAATGAGTGTGTGCGTGCGTGTGTGTGTGTGTGAGTGTGTATATAGGGTAAGCCGCTTAGCTGACTTAAAGTTTTAACAAAGCAACCACCTCGATGGCACAACCTAAGCGGCTTTCAATGTAAACTTTGCGTTTAGTGCGACAGTCGACAGTCGACAGCGAGCTGAGCTAGGTGAGTGGGCGTGGGTGGGGGCGGGACACTAGCACTAAATTATGCATGCGCGCCAAGTTAACACAAACACGTCAACAAAGCTCACGCAGCTCAGCGTAGGTAAAACTACATTCGGCTAACGGAATTTATTCACTGCAATTTTATTCTATTTTTCTCAGTGCCAGCTGAGCCTAGTTTCAATTTTGTAATTGATCCAAATTAATACAAATAACAAAAAATAATGGCCAGCCAGCCAGCCATATGTGTGTGAGTGTGTGTGTTTGCGGTTGAGCACATTTAATTAGACACTGGCTATCAATTCAATTGGAATTCCAATTGAATTTCATGCACATTAATGCGCAGCAAATTATTTTTACAACTGCCTTGCAGTTACATAACATATACATATATAAATATAATTGTGGCAAATCAGCGCTTGCAAGAATCTGCCAGATTTTATTTTGATAAATATATTTAAATCGTAAAATTCAATAATTTTATTTTACAATTTTTTTCTCCACTGCTGCTGCTGCTCCTGTCAAACAGCATTTTGAGAGTGAATTTAATAATATGACTGTGGCATGTGTGGCAAATAATTAGACTAAATTATGAATTAGTCAATAATGTGAAACATTTGCCGCACTTTACCTAAATGGCGAGTTGTTAGTTGTTAGAGGACATAATCCCCGAATGCCAAATAATTGACATTGTTTTTAAATGCGGTCATAATGACAATGCTGTCAGACAGCGAAACAAGTGAGGCAACAAATGGCAACGAATTTCAATTAAAATTCAAACTGAATGGCATTATGTCATGCGGCTAGCGTATCCATCATCCCGTTTCGAGCGAAAAAGTTTCTAGCTGCACTAATCGTGCTTTCAACAGTTTTGAGTTACTTAGCAGGAGCAAAGAACATCCTTCGAACTAATCCCCAAATTCGCTGACAGTTTTTGCGAATAGACGACAAATCGCCAGCCAACCCAGACCATTTTGTAAAGTAGGAAAGTGATGGGCGGAGAGTGTGGATCAGCATGGCTGAATAAAAGAGAAAAAAAACTTATCTCATTCGCACTGGCTGGGTCTACAATACTTATACATCACGCTCTGGCACTTTGGTAACCCAAGACAAACTCAAAGTTTCACCTTTAACCCTTAACAAGTAGCAACCTCAGCTTACGACGAGTCTCAATTTTTGGGCCATTCTAGCTAGCTGAGGAAAACTAGCAGCAGCAGAGGTAGCAGTGGCACTGGCAGAGGCAGAGGCAGAGACAGCTTTGGCTTTACTTAAAGTAACTCGCAACGCTTTGCATAAATTTTTACATTTTTCTTGGGGTTTAGTCGGGCTTTTTTTTTGCGCTGGTTCTTTAGGGCAGCAAAGTTCGACAGAGTCACGCGCTGAGTTGTGAGCTGCCGTTGCTGGTGCTGAAGAATGGAATGGAGGTTGAAGAAGGCGCTGCCTGAGGCAACGGGTGCTTCAAGCCGTGTTGATTTGCTGAAAAGCCGCAGGATTTGTGGGACTGTAAGCAGGCTGACTTTTTGCCGTGGCGCATTTAATGCTTAAAAATCGATTTTTCAATAAATTGCGAAACAGAAGCAGAAGCTGAGGCAGAAGCCGGCACTGTGGCAAAAGTTCAAAGCCGTTGTTGCCCCGGACAACTCCCCACTCAAAACAGTTTTAAGTGAACTGCCAAAATACAAAAAACTTTTGCCGTAAATTTTCATATTTATTTATTTTGTCAATCCAGCATGCTTTGCATTTTGCGTAATATGGCGTATGTGGTTGAAACTTTCGCAGCATCCCAAAAAAGAAAAATTCACAACGACGACGACGACGACGACGTAGTCAAAGCCCGGTCTGGGAGCTAGGCGGGCGCCGGCAGCAGCTAGTGCGAGTGAGAGCATGAGGAATGCGTTTGAGAAATGAATGTGTGTCGCAGATCTCTGTCGTGCGATATGTGCATAGATATAGCTTCATATGTAGCATGTGTGTTCCATGAGAATTCCATGTATTCCATGCTTTGTTGCCACAGATAAGCGTGGCTGCCTGGTAATGGCCAAAAATCACAGCGGATTCTCTTATTTTTTTTTTCATTTCATTTTCCGCTATTTTCTGTTTCTTTTTTTTTTCTGTGTAACTTGTGCAAAATGACACACAGATCAAGTGGCGCAACGGGAGGGCACGCGATTCGCTGCTGGGCGTGGCTGGCGGAGGCGGTAGCTCGGAGCGTGTCAGCGTGTGGGCCACGCATTTGCAATAAAAAATATGATGCTACCCATATGCATGCTCAACACTCTAACAAATCCTAGAGTTTGGGTCGCACGAAATCTCATAATATTTGCAAATGACGAACGTGAAAGTTTTTGATAAGTCGAGCAGTACAATTTGAGCTACAACTTTTGTCATACAGTTGTTATCAAAAGGCAGCGAAAGGCATCAAAACAAATAAAGCCAAAAACGAACAAAGCCAAACAAATAAACAAAACTATAATTTCATTATTCGAAAAGCGCTCGAAATTTATGAGCTGCAGCTTAAAAATGCTGAGCAGGTACAAAAAGTCATAGAAAAATATGCATATATATATATATAGTGAGAGAGAGAGAGAGAAGGACAAAGAGAGAGAGCGAGAGAGGTAGAACGAATGCTATTGCAAGAGATTTATTCGTAACGCCTGGATTTGTTTGCCCAACTCTGCAGTCACAACAATGCGCACATATATTATACACACACACACTCACACATATATTTATTTCTATATATAAATATATGAACTTTTTTAATCGTTTCTGTGTTATGAAATATGACAAAACATGCAACTAAAAGTAATTAAGCATTGGGATATTCTGCTGGGAATGCTTTTCGAGCACATGGGGCGTATGCGCCATAATTGTTTTGAATGCTTTTCTTTCGCATCTCGGCTATGGTAATAATTAATTTGTATTGATTTTAATGTTATGCTTTTACTTCTGCATTTGCTAAATTTCATTAATTAGTGGCCCATGATTTTGACAGTTTCAATTAGTTTGTCCATCTCATTTTTTCAGTTTTGTCGTTGGTCATTTTGTGTTTGCCAACTTGTCAAATTGCCATATTAGTTAAACCAGAAATAACCAAATAAAACTAAAAAAGCCCAAAGCCAACAAAAAAAATTTAATATTTATGCAATATTTTACCAAAGGGGCACAAATTGAATGCCTCCAAACGCAGCAGCTGGCAATGTGTAACAATTTGAGATTACTTTCCATTTGTATGCGTGCGTGAGTGTGTGTGTGTGTTTGTGTGAGCGTATCTGTGTATTTGCCAATTGCAACCACATAAATGTAATCCACAGTCAGCGAACCCGACCCCAAACCCAAAGGCTGGCTATCCCAACCATGCCAAAAACCCACTCACCCACTGTAACCGCAAACATTTGCCCACATGTAGGCAGCACTTTGAAGAGCAATTTTTAATACTTTCTTTCATTTTTTTTTAGTTTTGTGCATTGCTTTTTTGGTGGGCGGTGGGTGGTGGCGGGGTCGGTGGAAGGAAGTGCTCTACATTTCAGGCACCCCCATGCAGAATGAAATTCATGCATCGTTGCATACAATTCGCCATAAATGTTACCGAAAACTTGCTACGAACTGCCATTACCTGGCTTATGTGCTAGCTGTATCTATATATAACAACATATATCACGCATATATATGTGCATATAGATACATATATGTATAGTGTGTGTTTTCAAGGCAATGGCTTCATAAATTACAAGCAGCAGCAGCAGCATCTCTGTATAAGCATTTCAATGGATGCAAATGATAAATGTCACAGCTGAGATTAGTGAGAATCGCAAACATTGTGCGTATGTCAATAGAGTTCGTTTGAACTTTTCCCTTTTGCCCATATAGGGAAGGTATTTCAATTTTCCAATGTTCCAATGATTTTCTGATATTCGCATAGTCAAATTTGCCTTGCCCTGCCCTGCCTTGCTGTGCCCTGCCTTGCTGTGCCCTGCTCTGCCCTGTCTTGCCTTGCCTTGACTCTATTACCATGTATTTTTGGCAATTTCTTTATTTCTATTTTATCTAGCCAATAAATTACAAATAAGTTTAGACAACGCAGCGGGCAGGAGCTGACGGCAAGTGCAACATTTTATGTAATCTGCAGACTTTTGCATACATAAGCCGCTTTTACTTGGCCCACATCAAATATAACAAACATTGTACATACATGTTATAAAAGTCTTTGTGAAAAATCAACAAATCAGAATCAAAATTTCGCCCAGAGCCATGCAGCAAAGTTGATTGCCAAGAAATAGAGGAACAATTGCCATTTGGTAAATGACTTAAGAGTTCGCCCATTAAGCTGCACTTGAATGATGGATTTATGAACATCATTTTGAGCACGCCACTCGGATTCTCTTTAATTTTAAATGCAAACACACACACACATACACAGGATGAGAGGGAGTGCGATTTGATGAAGGGGTGCCAAGTAAATAGCAAATTAAATGCAAACATCTAATGTTTCATTAGCAGCATAAAATGTGTGTTTAATTATTACGAGTCAGACGGCGTCGCTTTGGGGTCGCAGGCACATACGCAATTAACTTTTACTATGTGTGCAGTTTTCTATGGTCAACTTTTGTTGTGCATTTCGCCTGAACTTTTTCGGAAATAAAATAGTATAAAAAATAAGCAAGAATCGTTTGGCCTCGCCTAGCTAAAGTTTCTATACTCTAACCGGCATTTTAAATTAAATTTGTCATA